ATCTGATGAGAAGAGAAGACTCCCTGGAAAAGACCCTGATGTTGGGAAAGAGTGAAGGCAAGAGAAGGGGACGACAGAGGATGAGACGGTTGGACAGTGTCATCGAAGCAGCCAACATGAATTTGATCCAACTCCAGGAGGCAGTGGAAGACAGGAGGGCCTAGTTAGCTCTGACGCATGGAGTCACAAAGAGGCGGAGACGACTAAATGACCAAACAACAACATTTGGGGATAACAATCACGTGACTAAATCAAGTGTTTTTCATTAATGATGTAAAATGCAATTTAAATCACCATTTAAAACACATCAAACCAATGCACACTATTTTCTTTTCACGCCGTGTGGCCATTACAAAATACAAATGCAAGAATAGGTGATACCTTTTTTTTTTCTTCATAAGAAAGAATCTAATTTATCCTTTCCTAACATGCAGTGGCACAGAACTCAGTATCATAAAGGACAGGAAAGGGGGGAAATCCATTAATCTTTTATGGCATGTTCTGTTTCAACAATTTCTAACTACTGTACCCACTCCCACATTAATTAAGGATTTTATAGCAATGTTCTACTTGCCTTGCAAAATCATAAGCCGCCGCCTTGCTTCCCATGGAACCCTAAGAACTACCTTCAGATTTTAAACAGAAGAAAGGGGAAAATATACCTCTAGGATAAATACCTTATATGCACTTATCCAGTAACCAGAGGAAACAGCAAGAGTGGTACTAGAATACTGTTCATGTTTCAAAGTTTCATTTTCAGACTGCTATTGATAGATATAAACTCTGTGCATTTCTTTTATCACTGGACATCATGTGGCAACAAATTTCAGAAGTACATACTGTGGAAAGAAATATTTCTTGTTGGCTTTAAATTTATGGCCAAATTATTTTCATTGTATGAATTCAATCTCTTTCTCTACTGTTCACACCTTAATGGACCACTCGCATGTGTCACATGGCTTTTCAGTTTTTATTCTTTGCCACGTTACTCAAAGATAACATTGCATTCCTTTGAATGTTTGCTCTGAACATTTTTCAATATACAATAGAGATGGGCATGAACTACCAGTTTGGCAGTTCGTGCCAGTTCATCCTTTGGACGAACAGCTGTTTGGTGGTTCCCCGTCCCGCCTTGTCTGTCAGGTACCCACTCAGAGGTAGCACCTGGGCTTCCCTGTCCTGCCTTCTGCCATACTGCTTCTCAGTGGGCGCCCACCAAAGGAGGCAGGGCTGGGAAATGCTAAACATCCATTCAGCCAAAGGACAAGCCAACACGGTATCACTGATTCGTACCCATCTCTAGGATACAATATCCATTTTGAAACTGAGTGGCCAGAATCACATAAGGTATTCCAATGCAGATACATCACAGGTTTATATAATGGTGTTATAAACCTGCTGTAAGAAGCAGGGCAGGAATACAAATACAGCAACACACAAAAGTAACTGTACCATAATGCCTGATAATGTGATGCTGACATTCAAAGGCTCAGCAATGGCACTGGTGAATCTGAAGTATTTTAGGCATGATAATAATCTGCTGGGCTGAGGATCCTCAAGAGATTACCTACTCCACAGTCCCACTTGACCTTCCAAAAGATGAGATAGCTGTAAAGATGTAATGTAACACTTTCCCAAATACAGTTGGTAAAGAGTAGAGATGGCGGTATTCATATACAAATATCCCTGCACAGGTGGCATTAAGGAGGGTCCAGCCCCATGGGGCCGGACAGTACACTCACCAATCCACAGAGGACGCAGACGGCGGAATTCTACCAATGGCTCCGCAGCGCATGTCCTCCTGCCTCCTGCCAGTAGTGGCTAGTGGATCGCATGCTGCTGAACCATTGATAGAATCATGCCGTCCCTGTCAGATCGGTGAGTGGACCGTCCGGCCTCATGGGGTTGGTCCCTCGTTAATGCCACCTGTGTGGGGATATTCGTATACAAATATGAATACCCCCATCTCTAGTAATGATCTGATGATCTGACTCAACTCCTAGAACTCTCAAAGTTCAGGAAGCCAATGAAGAAATTGGTACTACGCATAACATTCAAAATCTATATAGTCTATGTGCCTTATGTTCTCTCTCTGTCTGGCAAAACAGAATGAGTACTTTGTAAGTGGAACCCAGCTCAAGTATTCATGGCACCACAAAGGCAGTGGCAATACCCGTCACACACATTATAAAGGCCTACCTGAGCTGTTGAAGCAGCAGGTTGTAAATATTCACTGGGACTGACAGCAGCAGTGGCGGCCATACTGCTCTTTGGATCTGCAAAAAGAAACAGTGAATTAACTGTGAGTGGCTTGTGTGTGTGCGCGTGAATTAACTGTGAGTGGCTTGTGTGTGTGTGCGCACATATACCGTTTCCCCGAAAATAAGACCTAACCTGAAAATAAACCCTAGTATGATTTTTCAGAATGCTCGTAATATAAGCCCTACACCCCCAAATAAGCCCTAGTTAAGTGAAACCCCACCCTCCACCATCGTGCATCAACCAGAAGATGACATGACTGTATTTTGAATAAATGTAGATGGTTGTACATGAAAAGAATAAAACATCCCCCAATGCATTTTTGGAGCAAAAATTAATATATTTTCGGGGAAACACGGTATATATACGAGAAACAGAGAGATTCATATTAATGTCCTCATTGTATAGAACAGTGGAATGGGCAGTATGTTGTCCTCCAGATTTTGTTGGGCTGTAGCTCCAATGATACCTCACCACTGATTATGCTTCGTGGGATGATAGCCACTGCAGTCCAACAATATCTGCAGGACCACACACTCCTCATCTTTAATTCTTAAAGATCAAAGAAACTGTTACTGAATGAGAAATAAAATGAATTTTAATCTTTTAATTACAGCCAGTTAAAATAATACATAGCATTAAAAAGAGAGAGGAGACAATGTCCTTGACAAGCTGTGTCACCAAATGAAAGATGCTAAAAATCATGCAAACCATTGGAACATCTTACACAATACAGATTCCATCTTATGTTTACAATATAATTGGACCCAAGGTCCTCCAAATTATTATAGATGTTTCCTGATCTAAGACGAAAAAACAATTTCAGTGGGAAGGGTTTTGCGAGTCCATACCCTTTCCAGTATTACTAAAGTGGTTGTATTGTACACCTTAATTTCTGCAAGGCCATGTTTAGAGCACATTCACTGTACTAAAAATTGTATAAAAACAAAAAATATCCTACCCTATTTACATCTATGCACTTCTACTGCTGCAGGATTCCTAGACAGTATATAATCAATCAAAGCAACAGAACTAGCCTATCAACACAAAATGAAAACAGCGAAAACACAACAGTTGCAAAGTAAAAGTTCATTCAGATGGTATTTTAACTGTTTGTAATCCAGTTTTGTACAGTATGGGTTACAGGAAGAAGAAAAGCATTTATAAGATTAAGAAAAATGTCACTTAATAAGAAAGATCATTTGAAGATAATATCACAATTCATGTGTGAATATGAAAAAAATCTTATTTATTAGGGTTTAAATGGCTAGTATCATTTTGTTTTCCCCTAAACTGATTCAATACCATTTTAGAAAATGTTGAACATATTTTGGGGGAGGGAAGGAAAAAAACACAAAAAAGCTCTGTTCTTCTGCTCACAGTAATAAAGTCAATTACCTAAATGATTATTTGGCTTATTTAACCAGGAGCTTATGGCAAAAAGCTTTATTAGCCATAATCCCTCAAATAAAACAAACACATACACAGTTTCTCATTCTCATGGTCCACAGCATGGAACAATCCCAACAGGTAATAATACATGTTCATGCCTTGCTATGTTCTGAAAATATGTGTTGTAACCTATAGGCTCCCAGTTATGAAGATACTCTCATAGAGCTGTCTGTGTGCTTCACAACAAGGGATAAAAAGAATACTAGCTAATTCTTTATTCTTGTTAATTTAGACTGTCTCGCCTGAAACATTTTAATGAGAAATTGTAAAGCCACACGAGGTTTCTCAATTATAAGTGAGAGCGAAACAAGAACATAATTTTTCCTCATTAATGTCTCTATTATTTATGCAAATTGCCTCTGTGTATAATTAATGTCCCTTACCTTTGAAAAGCAAAGGCACGTACATACAATAAACATAAACAGGCACAACGAATCCCACACCTGCTTCTAATGTTAAAAGTCCACACATTAAAGCACCAGCCTTTATCTCTTGGCACAATTTGTATTGTTTACATTGTTTACAAGTGTTATTTACAACATTTTGTTTAATGTGCAGAAAAAATACAATTTTGTTCTCATTCTCTTTTCTTTGAGAGCATCACAGACTACCAAGCACTCTCATGGGGCAAGAACAATTTTGCTTTTTCATTCTCATGTATGAAGAAAAGATAAAAAAGGGTTTTACACCCTTTTTTCCCATATGCAAGTCTTTTAAGATTTAAGCTGTGGCAAAAAGATGTATTATGAGAGCATTTACTGTGATTCAGGAAAGGAAAATAGGATTTTAATACCTTTGACAACAGTATACATATATGTGTCTTCCTTGAACATATCTTCCTAGTCCCTATAGCCATCAATTTCCTGAAATAGCATCCCACCAATTAATTCTTCAAAACCTGCAACTTTGAAGCAGAACTTACAACTGGCAGAGATGTGCCAATCCCTCTACAGCAGGGGTCTCCAAACTACGGCCTGCAGGCCACATCAGTGGTTTCAGTTCCAGTAGCCTAGCTTTTGCAAGGAGGAGTGGGGAGGGCTTCCCTTTCACCAAGCCTGACTGAGGCAATTCCCCCACTGTCTTTGCACAGACAGCAGGGGTGGGGGATTGCTTCAATCAGGCTTCCCTCATCTTTCTGTGCCTCAGCACGCATAGAAAGACAAGGGAAGTGGGACCCAAGCGATCCCCCTTACCCCGCTGTCTTTGCAAAGACAGAGGGGGGGGGGAAATCACTTGGGTACCCCTTCCCTCCTCTTCCTATGCCCAAGTGGGGATGGGAAGAGGAGGGAAGGGGGACTCAAGCAATTTCCCCACCCTATCTGTTGTTAATTTATTATAAAACTGTTTTTCTTCCTTAGTCTTTGAAATTGTATAAAATATATGATGTGGCCCTCATTCTGAAAAGTTTGGAGACCCCTGCTCTACAGAATATTCAGTCCCATAGAACACTATTCATAATTTCTACTAGCAGTACTAGCTAACCTTGAAAATAATTATTTAACCCAACAAGTATAACAAATACTAGCATTTTGCACACATTATGCAGTTATGCTTTCAGCAAAGTTCAACACAGGCTAGTATTATCTGGATCCTGGAGCTGGGTCTGACAGAGTTTGGCTTCATCAAGAGAGTTTCTATCTATTTTTGATAGGATTTTACAGCTTGCATCGCTGCCTTCTATCGCCAAGCTTATATATTATCTTGGTGTTAACAACAGCTGCCTCCTTCCTTTCTCTCCCAGGGTTCAAGAGCTGTTATACATTCTTTGTTACTTCCATGCAAATTTTGACCTGTGTCAGTGCTTCCACACATGTACAACACTGACATAGGTGAGTTAGAAGAATATGAGGCCCTTTAGTTCCATGCTCATGTTCAGCTGGGATCTCCCCCACATT